ATATTTTAAAAACTAAATATAAAAATAATAACACCTAATTTAGCCTAACTTATAGTTTAAGAAAAGTACTGAATAAAGAAAATGGATTCAAATTCCATCCTTTGCCACGTCAAACTCAAATGCTTTTTAATAAAGTTGGTGGATTGTGTTTAATAAACATGTTTGGAATCCAATGTTTTTCAATCCACTAAGGCAAGGGGCAACATTTGTCAAATCCCCTTTGGAATAATATGTTCTCTAGAAAACTTYTAGCTAAAATATGATTACAAATTAAATAATGACATCACAAATATGGTAGTATTGTAATATATTAACAATCTCATTTAATGGTAAAAATATAATTTTGAATGAGGTTTTCAAATATAAAAAGTTCTATCGTTCATTGGTCCAAATGGGCTAGGGTTAATTGAGAGGGAATGAGTTCAAATCCTATGATGACCCACTTACCTTAGAAATTAGTAATTCCTATGTGTTTCCCGACATCAAATGTTGATACTTGCCGTTGATTAACGTTTATGTGTGACTAATAGTTTATAGCAAAAAGACGATGGTACGGACATATGACTCATATAGAAATTGAGAATCAATCGTTTGGTAGAAAATTATGCACCCAAAAACTTGGATATGTTAAACAATAAGAGAATATGAATGAGTACTATCATTTAGTTGATATCTTATTAGATTTGGATTAATTTTAAATGTTAATGATGTGACATAAGATAAAGAATTTGTGGTAATTAATTTGGAATATATTCTCTCCTTAGTATTTGGAGCAAAAGTGTCTTCAATCAAATGCAATGGAGAATTAAGTGAAATATAATATATAAGACATTATTCCTCTTTTTCAAGCATTTATTCATTTGCTTTTTGGCAATGGAGTTTTGATGATTTAATCACATCTCATAAAGTACTCTTTATCCAAACAATAAAAATTACAAGCAAAAACACTTAATAGCCATCCATAAACACTTAAATATGTTAAACACGTGCTAAGTATTCCACTAAATTTTTTTATTGAAAGTTCGATACTATATAAATGTAAACTTCTTTGAATTCGTAGTAAAATATTAGAGGTAAACATTCGAATCAAGTGAATTGTAACCGATTTCACCCAAAGAAAAAAATAGAGAAATAAGAGATAATGAAAAACCGACCATATAGATGAAAGTCGCTATCACCCATACAATTCTAACATCGTTCTCTAATATTTCGTAAATCTTGCATTTAAAGAAGTCTACTTGTAGATTAAAATTGTTTATTAGTGATTTCTAGATAAAACTTACGCAGTGTAAAGGTATAAATTATTTTTTTAGATTAAGATTTTAATTGATTCAACATGCATAATTGGGGTATAAATTGATTTTTTTCCAGCAACACAAAAAATGGCTTTAAGACAATTTAGGGCACAAAAAATTGATTTTTCTTTTTTTTTTTCTCTGAGAAAAGCTTTGGGACAATTTTTACAATTTTTCAGTCACACCCACAAATGCATGCCAATTAGAATTATTGGGCCGTTGGGCCCACGGCCCATGGATAAGCCCATATCTATTTCCACCATAGATAATTATCAATTAATGTTGCAAATCTGAAAATCCCACACATTATCTACAAATTGGTAAATTTTTGGCGTGTCTAAAATAATTTTATATTTTATTTACGGTTTAGGATTTGGTCCAAGATTATTTTTATTTGTGCGTTGAGAATCGAGATGAACTTATATTTTGTTTTTACAAAGTATTAATTGATTACATTTTATTTATTTAAAAATTTGAATTTTCTTAAGAAAATTTCTCTCAGTCTCAAACTTTTGTATTATTGGTTAGCCAACATAGATATGATTTAATGATTTTTTCTCCATATTTTTGGGTTGCTTGCATCAAGCTGCAATTTAGTATTATAATTATTTTGAATATGGGGTGCAAAAATAAAAAAACCAAACCTATCAATATTCATGGGTTCTATCTCAAAATCAATTGGCAAAGAGCGGCAGCATCTCCGACGACGTCACTTTGTTGTCTAGCATCGCTGTCTGAAGGCTGGAGCAACCGCCGCCATCGAAATCCCAGCACCTCTAATTGCCAAACCCAGGTACTACTTCTCCACATCCATTGATGGGGTTTTCTTCGCTTTATTCTTGTTATTCTTGTTCCTCCATAGGTCTCACAATTTGGTAACTGTTTTTGCCTTCGTTTTTGTATAATTTGAATTGGGTTGATCAAGAGGGAATGACAAAATGCCATTGATTTCATTGGAGGTCTAGAATTATGCCATTCTCAAGCCATGGGTTAATAAAATGAAATTTATTTTATAGAACAAAAGATCCTTCTATATAATCCATCTAAAATGATATAGTACATTCCCAAGACATTTTTTAAAATTCAAAAACTTTTAAGGTCGACTCGTAGAACAACCTATTAAACATAAAATTTAAAATTAAGATAACTATTAAATATCATAGGTAGAGTCGAAAACAATGTGTTGAAAGAAATCGAAGACTTGAAAACCGAGCAATCCAACCCAACTTATCTGGTTTGGTTTGGTTTGGTTCGGTTCTCGGGTTTCAAAGGTGTCTGTGATTTAAACTATTTAATAATATTTTTCTTTTTTTATTTAGGCAATATTAATATTTTTCTCTCGGAAACTGATCCCTCTTTATAACAGTTCTCAGTTCTCTCCTCCATCCGCTTGACCCTCCATCGACGGCGGTAGGGAGAAAGAGAAAGCTTTTCCGGCGGTTCAGCGTGCGACGGCAGCCGGCGGCCATTGCCAGGACTCAAAAACAATACCCATTCGGCGATTCAGCCTTCCCCTTCTAGCCCAGTGGCGGTACTCTACTCCTCTCCGATTCAGCCTTCAGTTCAGACCCTCGCTCACCCTTCATTCTTTCCTTTTTCCTCTGGTAAGTTTGATGGTGCAATTTTCGATTTCTTGGGTTTATTTGTGCTCTATTGATGCCCAATTTCTATTGTGCGCGATGTTATAGGTTTTGGGTATTTAGCACTGTTCTGGGTTTGGTCCTAATCGGAAGATGAAGCTTGACGTTAACGTTTTGCGCTATCTCTCAAAAGATGATTTTAGAGTCCTTACTGCTGTTGAGATGGGGATGCGGAATGTATGTACTGCTGATATTCTCTTCTCTAGCGGGAGGGGGTTTCGTTAGCTTTTTGTTACTTGAACCTTACTCTAATATAATTGATTTCTGTTGTTTCAGCATGAAATTGTTCCTTCAGAACTTGTGGACCGCATAGCTTCTCTTAAGTATGACTCTACTTTTGTTTTCGTTAAGAAATAGTTCTTTTATTTGTATTCCGCGACTCGAATCCTTAAATGCTTTATTATGGTATGTGTAGGCATGGGGGCACTTACAAAGTTATGAAGAATTTACTCAAATATAAGTTGCTGCATCACGACTCCTCTAAATGTGAGTTAGCTATTAAATTATGTTGTGGGAATTCCGTATTTTAAACAATCTATCTCATTGTCTTTCTTGTGCTCTTCTAGATGATGGGTTTCGACTTACGTACCTTGGCTATGATTTTCTTGCAATAAAAACTTTGGTTAACCGTGGAGTGTTTGTGGCTGTTGGTCGACAAATTGGTGTCGGAAAAGAGTCTGGTAAATTTCTAGCTAGTTTGAACTTTAAAAGTTGCTAAATTTTGCTTTTGGCGCCTGTGTGGTGTAATATTTTTTGACCAGTCTTTATTTCTTGGCTGGGTTGTTGCTTCTGATTGTAGATATTTTTGAGGTTGCAAAAGAAGACGGCACTGTGCTTGCCATGAAGTTGCATAGACTTGGCAGAATTTCTTTTAGGTCTGTCAAATCTAAGCGTGATTACTTGAGGCATCGCAGTAGTTATAATTGGCTTTACTTGTCTCGGCTTGCAGCAGTTAAAGAATTTGCATTCATGAAGGTTCTCTCCTGAATTTTTCTATCTGCATCTTATTAGTTACTGCATTTGATTTTTTTCTTTTTTTTTTTTCTTGGCGAGCTGTGGTATTGATAGTAGCTTTACTCTTGTGCTCTATGTAACAGGCTTTGGAAGAACATGGTTTTCCTGTTCCAAATGCAGTGGACTGTAATAGACACTGTGTTATTATGTCGCTTGTTCAAGGTTATCCGCTGTAAGTCTTTCGCTTACTAACAATGTTTCATGGTCAAGCCTCAATCCTCGGTATTATGTTCAGAAGTTTTAATTTTATTGTTGTCTTGTACTTGTACATGGTATTTTTATAAAATTATATTTTGAGTCAAGTTATATTTTCAACAACTAGAGCCAAGCAGATTGCGAGGTAAATTTGTGAAAGGAAATTATAAGATAACAACTAGGATTAGGAAATAGATATGTAGGGGTGTGGTTCAATGTTTCTTGATGCAGTCGTATTATTATGTCTCTTTTGTAAGTTCATTTAAATGCATTATTGTTATTTTTAAAATGTTTATTTTTAATATCTGGTCTTCATGGCATAAAGGAGGGAAAATTTAGAGGGCATCTACATATTTAGATACATGGAAAATATTTTGGATTTTTAGTCCTATTTGAACTTTCACTGATTGTCATTTTCTTCTACATAATAATATAGTGTTGATCACCAGCATTTCTATTGTCATGAAATGTGCAAAAATGCAACCACAAGCTCAGTGTGTGCCTCTAAAAGTATATAAACCTTTTACAAATTATTATTTCTCTCAAACTTCAAATGTATTGACAGGCACGGCCAAATTCTTTGGTTTTGTTTCTTACTGGAAAAATTAAGAGGAAGAAATTCAACATTTGAGCAAACCGATGAACTATTATGAAATATTGTAAAATTTTAGAAACTATAACAGGAATTAAGCAATTTTAGGGACCAGAATTAATTTTTTAACCAAAGATCTTTATTTTGAAAAAGGGGAGAAGTTCATAACCTGTTGAGGAGAAACTAAGTTCATCACAGACTGTTATAAAGAATAACCAAAACAAAATTGGTCTAAGTAGTCCATCCTTGAGTTTATGTAGTGTGTTGAAGATAAGCAAGTAGAGTTGGGTCATGAAAGCTTTTGATGAGTATGTGCTAATTCTATGTTGTACTAAATCCTTCTTGGTCCAATGCAGAGTACTAATCCTGCTTGGTTAAATGCAGTGTGCAGGTAAAAGAATTACAAAATCCAGACGTGGTTTTTGAAACAATCCTTGGTCTTGTTGTTCATCTAGCAGAACATGGACTCATTCATTGTGACTTCAACGAGTTCAACATTATGGTATGGTATTGAGGAACTCTGTGAAAGCAACGAGGCCATTTATATGTTATCTTATTGTCCCTTTTTCTTTGCCGAAGAATTTGGCCTTTTCCTTAATTTCTTATAAGTTGTATTTTCAGTTGTGAACTTATAAATTATAAATTACAGTTCAACTTTTCTATTGAGTTTACTACAGTTGATTTCATCTTTTGATCCTTGTGCTTTGTAGATTGATAATGATGAGAAGGTCACCATGATAGATTTTCCGCAAATGGTTTCTGTATCACATCGTAATGCACAGATGTAAGAAGTGCTATATGAGGCTCTGTTAGAATCAAATATTGATTTCTTTTGGTTTAAAAATTTTCTCCTATCACATGACTTCTAAAAATTGTGTTATTAGTTAGTACTCTATATAACATTTTTTATTTCTTTTTTCAATTTCAGGTATTTTGATCGTGATGTTGAATGCATCTTTAAGTTTTTTAGAAAAAGGTTGGTGCCCAGATAATAAAAATATGGAAAATGTGGCATGCATAAATAGACTGTTTGAGTTGCATTTGGATTACGAACCTAAAAGTTGAATAATGGCATGTGGACATATGAGAGGATATTTGATGCTGTAAGAAGTCTAAATTTTCATGATAAATAAGTTCAGTGGAGAATATGTTATGGATTCCTCATGAAATGTGCTCTTCACCTTATTTAATTTGTTTTCAAAATTGAAAATTCTAAAGCATTATGTAAAACTTCCTTTTGAGTTTATCTAGTTATGGTCCTTTTCCCTGCTACTTAGAATTTTTTTTTTGGCCTATTGTGATTCAAGCCTATGGTATTTTCTATGGTAGATCTGATTGGTTGATACTTTTATGTGATTCAAGCTACTTAGAAATTTTTATGCCTTTTATGATTCTTGCTGCATTTGTCATACTCTTCCTTGGGTCTCAATGTTAGAGCCTTTTATTTTGGGATCTTATTTTGGGAAACGATTAGAAGTGACTTTGCACTTGGAAAGAAGGTGTTTTTTTTTCAAATTTTAACTTTCGAGGTGGGCTTTCCTTATCAAATCCATTTTCAGTGGATTCCTTTGTATTTTTGGTATATTTTATAATCTGCTTCCACCACTTACCTTGGGTCAGAGAAAATCATGCCTCATGGGGGGCTTCCTGTGGGAAGGTGAGGAAGGTGTTTGAAGCTTGTGAGCAAGGTGGAGTGTGTATTAGAAACCTAGCTAACCCGAAACTCGTCTCTCTTAAGTTCTTAACCAAATGGTTACAGTGTCTTCCCTTAGAGCCTAATACTCTGTGGCATAAGGTCATAGTGATTAAATACTTAATTTGGGCATCACTCCAATGGGACGAGATTCTAACTTGGTGGGTGTAGGAATCCTTGGAAATATATTTTGTAGTGTTTGCCTTTCTTTATTTATCGTATTAAATTGTCAGTTGGAGATAGGTTTTTATTCCATTTTGAAGATCATTTGATTGGTAGTAGTTATTTCCATCGCTTTTTATTGCCTTTTCTCTGTCTACTGTGAATAATACTTGCATTGCCTATTTCTTCTATTTTTCTACTAAGCAGTCTCTGTAAGTAGGGTTAAGTGGATCTTTATCACATTCTTTAGAGGTGTTTGTTTGCTGGGAAGGCATGGTGGAGTTGTCTCCAAGGTTTTAGGGTGGCCTTGAGCTTGTGCGAATATTGTTGTGTTATGCTGGAAGAAGTTATTCTTCACCCTACTTTTTGAAACAAAGAAAAGTTTCTTTGGCCAGCAGGATTCCTGGCTGTCATTTGGAATGTTTGGTTTAAAAAGGAATAGGAGAGTTTTTAGTCTTGGAATCTGGCATTCTTTAATGTCTCCTTGTGGGTTGGCGTGTCAAAATTATTTTATGATATTTATTTTAAATATTTAGATTATTTTTTTGTAATTTCTTTTTAGTGGCTCCATTGTGTGTTTGGGCCTATGTTTTAGTTGACCTTTCCGTATTTCATTATTCTTAAGGAGAGTGGTTGCTTAATTTTTTTTTTTTAAAAAGTTGATCACCAGAGATAGTTTGTGATGTCATATGTTTGAACTCAACTAGGAGGTTTGCATATTTTCTCGAGCCACCTCACATTACATTACATAAGATGGTTAATGGCTTTTCTTATTGCTGTGGCTAACATTTCAGTTCCTTTTCTCTCTCAGGTTTAACTTGTCATTCCATGAGAGCGGGGATGATGAAAATGATGTAGAGGTTGACAATGATGAAAGTGCGAGGCCTTGCTTTTCTTCTATAGCTAAAGGAGCAGGAAGTCTAGACAAGGATCTTGCTGCCAGTGGGTTCACTCGAAAGGATCAGGAAGACATGGAGAAGGTATGGAAAACCATTTGTTGTAATTGGGATTTCTTTCCCCTCTATAATGTAGTTTCATTTATCAATGAAATAACCGTATTCTCTAAAAAAAATTTGAGATGGTAACGGGTAAGATAGCTGTAAAAGGCATGAGGTCAATAATATGTCTCACAAGTTCCCGAGCAATTAAGTATTATAATGTGAGACGCCTCGGAGGGGCGATCCTGCTGGCAAGGGCTTGGAGTCTCTTGATCACTGGCTTAGAGGTCTCATGATCGAACCTTCAGGTGAGCTTTTACCCAAAATCCTTGATGTCTCTCCGGTTCGGACCTTGGGCAGGCGCGGAGGCTCCTCCGGTATAGGAGAGCAAAGCTCCAACTCCCTATTATAAAAAAAAAGTATTATATGAGACAGTGGTCTTGTTTCAAATCTTGAGTCCGGTGAACAAATAAAAGTCGGGATCTTTTGGTGTCTAAGAGCGATTAATATAATAGCCAATCCAAGCATAGTTCTGTTGACAAAGCATCTATTACCTTAAGGTTGAAGGTTCGATCCTCAATCCCTGTTGAACTAGAAAAAAAGAAAATGAAATAGGATGGGATCTCGAGATTAAGACATCATCCATACTGACAAAGTTGCTGGTCGTTTTCAGTGTGAACTTTTTAGGCTGTTGTATGTTTGGTTTGGTTCTTCCTCTTATACGTCTTTTTCCAGTGTATTCTCCAATATATGTGATTGCATCTCTCATGTCAAAGTTCCTCCTGGGGATCTATAATTATTTTGACCATTTTATATATTTGAGTAACCAATCTATTCCAAATTGGTTGGTGCATAGCTTTGATTACTTGGTATGGTACAATATACAGTTTATTGAAGGTGGACTTGAGGGAGATGCAGATTCTGGTGATGAAGAAGCGGAAAGCTCCAAGTTAGATAAAATGGACAACAATGTTGTGGAACATCTACAGTTGTCAGATGAGGTATTCATTTTATCATTATGCTCTGATAAAGTTCGGTAAAACATGTTTGAATTTTCTACCTCACAGTGAGCTAAGGTCTCTGGTGCTCAGCCTTATATAGCTGTGGGGATTTCTGGATTTATTTTTTGTTTAATTTAACAATTCTATTGTTGTTTGTTAATAAATAGAATTTTTGAAGAATATGTAACCCCATTTATGTAGATGCTTGAAATGATCCCCATTTGAGTTTGGGACAGTATTCCATTGACCTATCTAACTATTTTTAACTCATCTAATCCAAGTTCGAAATTTAGGATCATCTTTCCTATCAAATCAACTTTCTTCTTCTCTGTTGGTATAAATGTCTCATCATAGATGCCTTACTATTTGTTTTTCCCTTTTTAATTATACTTGTACAGGAAACCTTGAATGGTGATGAAAATGCAGAGTGTCAGAGCAACTATAAAGCACGTCACAATGACGTATTTGAGAACGACTCGGATTCAGATGTATTGTTTCTAACCTCTAGATTCTTCTTTTGCATGAATTGTATCTGATTATTATTATTATTACTGTTACTAACCTCTAGATTTGGAAGTCTATGTAACCCTTCGTAGGGCTTTTGTAATTTTGTAATTTCATACATCAATGAAATTGATTCTCTAAAAAAAAAAAAAATTATTATTGGGGGATGGGGGGATTGAGTTTTTCTAACCATGCATCTTTTATATCAAATAGTTTTTTCTTTACAGTTTTAGAAGGCAAACACATAAGTTCAATCTAGTGTCTTCTAATGGACGATGTGTTTATTGCTAAATCATAAATGATATTCCCCTCCTTTTCTGTTAGCAGAACGAAGAAGCAAATGGAGAAAACGACGTCTCCAGGAATGGCTCAAGTGAAACGGTATGAACAACCTATTCAATTTTCTTCCCCCGAAAATTTCTTTTTTCCATGAAATTTGGTTTGAGGGTAGATTTCCTATTCTCATAGATTTTCTTGCTTTGGTAACGTCACCAATTCATTTAAAGTACTTTGTCCTTGATTTATGAATACTAGCTATTCTGGAAATTGAAAAATGGAAAAGTTTCCTCTGTTCCTTGACCATTATGGAAATTGGTACCTGGTAATATAATACAAAAAGAAACCTCAGGCCTTGCTCTTATCTCCTGATTGGGACATTGAGCACATATCCTTTAAATGATACTTACTGTAGTAATAAAAATACAACCACCTTAGATGGGACTAATGGTCGTTTGGGTGAGCCTAGAGAGAATAGGTTCAAGCCACGTGGCACCTTTCATGATTTAAAATCCTAAAAATTTCTTTAGCAACCAATATTTGCAACCAATAAAATATTGTAGGATTAAATAATTGACCCATTAGATTAGTGAAGGTACACATAAGCGTCCGGACACTCATGAATATCAAAAAATTATAGTAATGTATTAGGGTGTGTCTTGTGCTCGATGGTAAAGACTTGGGATGCTTTGGAGACCTCCAAAGGGTCCTAGGTTTGTTGGAAACTTAGGGCCCATTTGGTAACGTTCCTTGTGGCATGTTTCTCGTTTCCAATTTTATTAAGAAATTTAAGCATTTGACGGCCATTTATGTTTCTTATTTTTCATTTTTAGAAACATTCTCAAAATTGTATAGAAATTTTGGAAACAAGTTGTCCAATGTGAATAAAAATCTTATTTCATCATTCTTGAATCTATGAATGGTGCGGTCATGCAATTCTATTTTTCTTTAGTTAAAAAAAAATGAGGAAACAGAAATAAGAAACAGGAACTTTACAAAATGGGTCCTCAATATAACTTAAAATCTTCACCATCTCCTAGTTTTGGGGTGGTTAAGTCTTCCCGAAGATTAGGGGGTGGGCCATGAACATAATGTAAAGAGCAGGTCCCAACTATTACCAAAAGTGTCAGCAAAGCTAACAGTTGGTGTGGTGTATCTTTTGTATGGCAGAGGGAGAATGACAATGGTGAGGGTAGAGAGGAGAATGATGAAACGGAATTGAACAAACGGTTGAACAAACAGAGACGACGGGCCATAGCATCAGCCAGTGGTGGAAGAAAGGCTCGTGCCTCCAGAAACACCTACAAAGACAAGGGTAGGAAGTCTTCTAATAATTCCAAACTCCAAAAACAAATCGGCATCTGGTGAAGTTTTCGGCTCGGGTTTATCTCAACCTTCATACTGGTTCGTGTTGATCTTGTCCTTGTACTTTAACAATTTTGATTTTTGATTTCGTCTGTATTTTTGTTATATTTAAGGGTAGGAAGTCTTCCCAGTTCTCTTTTGTTGGGATGAACTTGATATAAATGATGAAAGTATAAGCACAGAAATAGTAATTTAACTTTTGTCTTGTGTATATTTATATATACCAGTGAGTGAATTATGTGCATTGCATTTGTTAGTATTGCAATTCAAAGTAATGCAAATTAGCTGTGAAACTAGTTGAAGTTTCAAGATTGAATTTTTAATAGGTTTGTAAATTTAAATGTTTTCAGTGCCCAAGATAGTCAGGAGGACTTGGGATTTCAAGAAATATTTTTAAGGTGTAAGGAACGCAAGTTCACCAAGGAAAGACCCCTTGCGGATGTACGGGTATGATGGCAGTGTGCATGCTCTCCAAGTATAGGGTCGAAAAGGTCAAAGGGCCACCGACTCTTAGGTAATCAAATTTTTTTTTAACGTTTTCTACTAAATTAGGAATTTATTAGACAAGTGTAACTTATTAGATACGTTTTAAAGTTTGAACTTATTAGATAATATTGAAGTTAAAACTTTTCTTTTATACATGTGGAGTAGATAATTAAACTCATGAACGATCTTTTGGTTGGAAATAGGTGATTATCAGTTAACTATATTGTATAAAAATTTATTTGATACAATGAACTAAATTTATAATTTTATGACGTTAGTTGTACATTATTTTTCTTATTGTTTAATATAATTAAATGGGTATGCCATCAGGATCTTAAGAATCAAAAGTGATTTTAAAACACACACACATATATATATTGGATAATGAATTGGTGGTGATAGCATTTCTAATTTATTAGAAATGTTTAGCACGGTAAGGATGATATAAAAATTATTGATGATAAATAATAAAGTTTATATTTCACCCGTAAGCCTTTTTTTTTTTTTTTTTGACGTGCACCCGTATGCTTAATTTAGTGAATTTCAAAATTTTCATTTATTGAATGTTAAGAGTTTAAATAAATAGTTAAATTAGTAGTTCCTATTAGTTGAGTTTTTATTTTTTAATATTGAGATTAATTATCATTGTATCTGTATTTTGATTATCCTCTTATTTCAAATCAATAAATATTTATTTAATAGATATGTCACATTATCATTTAGTTAATCATATTAAGAATTGTATAAAAAAAATTGTCAATCTAAGTATAGTTCAACTAGTTAAGGCATATATCCCGACCAAATTGTCGTGAGTTCGAATCTCTCCCATGTCTTAGTAAAAAAAGAATGGTATAAAATTACAAGCCAAAGTTGAATAACATACTGACTTTTTTTTTTCTTTTTTAATTTATAGGTAAAATATATATAACTATATTTAGATTTTAACTTTACCAATAAATAGAAAAAGGAAGAGAGTGAGGTTTGTAGAGAAGAAATTTGGTTATTCATAATATGTCGCTCGGTCGAGTGCTTTCTTGACCGATCGCTTGAGCTAAGATTCATTTAATAACATTATTTTCAACAATTATATCCCAAGCCAACTATAAATTTATTTTCCAAAACAACTTAATAAATGCAATATACCCAAGAGGCAAAGTTCATGAAAATCTTCTACACTATGTAAAGTTACCAAAATACCCAATTTTTTGAGAATGGGTCATGACAAAAAGTTAGCCTAGATAGACATGAATTCCTGATATATTATTTTAGAAAGAATACTATGGTAAGAATTAGCATAATATTATATAGATTAATGCACACTATATTATAAAACTTTTAGTCTTATATATTAAATAACCAAAAAAAAAAAGGTTAAAAAAGGGAAACTTTAATCCATATTATAATACAGGCTATTATTAATTGGGGAAAAAACAAATAAAAAGGGAAAGAAATTGGTGCAAATGTGCATTGAAGTTCTCACCCATATGCTTATGCAATTAAATTTTAGAAAAAAAAAATAATTAAAGAATTGTTTGGTTCTTATCTACACTTTGGTTTATTTAATGCTTTGTTTTGGATTAAAATATTGAATTTAATTTTTCATTGAAGATGCTTTCTGAGTATTTTATGCAATTACTTGGTCAATGGTTGTATTAAAATTAATTAATTAGTTTTTTTTTATTTATTTATTTTTATAAGGTTATTAAATTTTGTATTTCAAGGTGATGGTGGAAGAAAACTAGTGGGTCACAAAAATAATGATTAAATATATTTCAATATTCAAAAGATATATGTATATATGGTTGATATGTTTTATTACCTAACATCACATTCCAAATACTTCTAAACCATTTAAATCTCTTTTTTTAACCATAAAAGGATTTCTTTTCCCTCCTTTTAAAATGTGAAAGATATTACTTAAAAGACAAATACCTGCACATAAAACACCTCAACTCATTCCAATGCCAAATAAAAGAAAAGAGTTCAGTTGAAAGTAGTAAAAAATAGATTCGTAAAATGTAGATGCGCCCTAGATTTCTCCTTGAGTTTGGTTCGGGTGGACCCGCTCGATCGGGTCCGATCAGCTCAATATGATCAAGTCGAGTCTTGACTAATTTAGTTTGGTGGTTCGACCCGATTAGCTTCACTCAAGCGGCATGACCCAAGTTGCATATTCAACCTCCTAGTACAATAATTTTATCTATAATAGTGAAAATTCACCGCAACAAAGCTAAAAAGAAAAGTGAAATTGAAACTCGATTGATATTTGATTGATTAGTAAATCATATTTGTGTATAGCGAATCCAATTGAATGGATGAATTAGTTTAGCAACTAAAATTAGACGTATAATTTTAAATCATCAAATGTCATATTAATTAAATCAAGTAAAAATATTCATTACAATTTAAAAAAATATATATATATATATATATATAAAACAGGTGACAAGCATCACACCCTTGTAAGAATTTTGAATCTTAATTGACCTAAAAAAATATTTATTTTTTTCTCAGAGATTTATCATTCAATTTTATGATATTTATCTCAAAAAAAAAAACTTTATGGTATTTTTGTGTTCTTTTTTCTTCTTAAAAAAAATTCTTAGCGTAGAAGACGATGAAAAATAATTATATATATATTACAGAACCCACCAAACATGCAATTTCCTCTTTTTTTTAATTAAATGCTAATTTACCCAAAATATTGTAATGAGTTGGCCAACAGTCCGAAAAATAAAATTAACCTAACTATTTATAAACAAAGAGGTAAATTTATTACTGACAAATTAAAAAAAAAAAACTTTGTTTGCTGAAGTTCACATTTTTTATTTTTCGTTTTCAACTTTTTAGGAATATAAGTATTTTCAACTGTTTAGAAATATAAGCATTTGAAAACTGTTTCTGTTACTCGTTTCTCAATTTTTAAAAATACTTTTGAAATTGTGTTGAAATTAGGAAAACAACAAAATTAAGTTTATTGTTTTCATTTTTCATTTTTCATCCTTTTTAAAAAATAAACAGCAAAAAAATTTTAATTTTTAGAATTAAAGTTTTTGAAAATAAAAAACAAAGAATACTACCAAACATGTTTTGATTTCTTTTTCAAATAAGATAAAACGAAGAAGAAATTAGAAATAATTACCAAATACAGGTCAGAAAATAAAAAATAAAAAACCACAGTATATTTTTCATAAGTTTTATAAAGAAAAAAAATCCATACATTTCAATACAAAATTTATGAGAAAAACTGGTCTGAAATTTTATTCTCTCCATCTCTTTTTCTCTATAAAAATTTAAAATAAAAATTATTATTATTATTATTTATTAATGTAATTAAGGTAAGATTTTCCTTTCCCATTTTTATGTGGACTATTCCTTCAAGGCTTAGCAAACCCATAATTTTCTTTTCTTGCACCTAAAATATATTATATAATATTGGTCATAATAATTACCATCACATACTTTCAAAATAATTATAAATTTTTTTTAATTTTAATTGTTTTCTATTAGAAAAAAAGGAACCGTCTACCCACTTTAAAATTTCATTTGTATTTTAAAATTATGTCTCCAGCTGATTCCAACCAAAACCCAAATTATTATATTTTTTTAATACAAATAAATTATTATATCACTAACAAGAAACACTTAAAATATTACCATAATTTCAATTCTCTCTCTCATTACTTAATTTTTTAAATTAAATTTAAATCTTATCTTTGACCATAAGCTTCCATACTCATTTCGTCTTGGTCTCAAAATTTTTAAATTTTCCATTTTGATCCCTATATTTTATATTAAGAAAATTATTTTAGTTTTCACCAATTTTTTTATATAATTATTTAACAACTAGCTACATTTAAAATCTCAATTTTTTCCTAAATTTTAAAAATTAAAATAAATATTTTGAAAATTTAATGACCAAAATAATTATTTTCTTAATTAAGAGATTGAAATATATTTTATATTAAGAAAATTATTTTAGTTTTCACCAATTTTTTTATATAATTATTTAACACCTAGCTACATTTAAAATCTCAATTTTTTTCCTAAATTTTAAAAATTAAAATAAATATTTTGAAAATTTAATGACCAAAATAATTATTTTGTTAATTAAGAGATTGAAATAAATATTTTAAAAGAGACCCTAATAAATTAGTCTGGCAAGTTAACAGACCGGGATAAAATCTAAACAATTTTTTAAGCAAAGTTGATATATTAAGACAAAATATAAAAAAGTGTTTATGTATTAAAATAAGATTTAATTTTCTTTGGTTTTAAATCTGAATTTGGACAGCCATAATTAGCTAAAGATTTCCCAAATTCATATAATAATAATATAAAAAAACCAATATAATATTTTAGAAAACAAAAAAAAAAAAGATCTCTGTTTTTTGCTCTTAAAACTCTGTGATCTACTTTCAAAGCAGAGCAGAGCTGAGTGGAACAGTCACTGTTTATATTTGCAGGTCAAATCAAATTCCCCATTAATGGAACCTTTAATTTCTTCTCCTATGTTTTTTTTTCCTAATTTATTATTTATTTTTTCTGAGGAATTGAGATTGGAAAAGAAATGGGTTTCTGTTTTTGATTTACAGAAACGGAAACCACAAGATTTATGGAGGGAGGA